CATAAGAGACTTCTTTCAAAGAACATTTAAAAATGGTACCAAACTTTTGAATGGTAGTGGACATGTACACAAAAATATATACATGTAAACATCTTCTTTTTGACTACAGAAGAACCGACCTGGAGGGGCTGGAAGTTCATCAAAATTGATAGGTCGGTCTGCTTTATGGGCACGGATGGCAGCCTGGTATTGCTGTGGGTCACAAAAAGAACATAATCTGAAATCAACAAGTCTGTGCAAACACCTCGCTGAGTGCAAAAATGTGCTGCATTATGTTAAAATGAACTTAAAAGGAGTTCCACAATCAGATAAAATCTAAAAAGGAAACACTGCAAGAGAAACCAAAAGTTGGTGGACATTCAGTAGTGACAATGTGCCATTATTTGAGGTTCAGGTGTCATTTTGACAGGTTTACTAACTTTAGCAATGCGGTCATGCATGCGGGCTTTGCGCTCATCCCCGCTGGCCTTAGCTTGTGTGAAGGCCTCTTTGTACTTGGCCATCCTCTGTTCCAGAGCTTCAAGAACAGTCTGGGGCTGAGCTGGACCAGAACCGCTGTCTGCTGGTATAACAAAAACAAAAAAATGAACACTAGGAGACAGGAAAAGCATTCAAACTCAGGTCACAAGTACAGTAATTAGACTATTAAAAGAGACACACGTTCAGTCTCTGAAAATATCTGACGTGAGAACTGGTGTACTAACCAGGAGCTGAAGGTGAGGTAATGGCTTTTTGAGGTGCAGGGTGAGTAACTGTAGAGGCTGTGGAAAAGAATTAAGCCTTACACTATAAAGCTACAAGCCGTGAAAATATGTAAACAAATATGCAACATATCATAGCTACTACAGTATTTTTCTGACCACAGAAAATAATTCGGTCTAACCTTGAGACAGAGGGGGAGGAATGGAGCTCATGTCCACCGGCTGGCCTTTCTCCAAAGCCTCAACTGCTGCATCGAATCCCTGAGCCAAACAAGCAAACAGCATAGTGCAATTCTTTGTCTACTTCCTACAATTCTTGAATACCTAAAATAACTTGTTACACGTGAGTTATTAGTAATCATGGTTTATGGGAACAAGACACTTCGTTAAGAGGAATATCCAAACTTGCATGACAACATAGCTGAAGTAGTAGATGCCTTGAATTAAATGCAAAACCAACTGAAATGGTAAAAACAGTAAAGGCTTTGAGATACAAATTCTTTGGCAGGTTTAAAGGGATACTTCACCCCAAGATGAAAATTTTGTCTTTAATCACTTACCCCCATGTCGTTCCAAACCGGTAAAAGCTTTGTTCGTCTTCAGAACACAATTTAAGATATTTTGGATGAAAACCGGGAGGCTTGTGACTGTCCTATTAACTGTCAAGTAAATTACACTGTCAAGGTCCAGAAAAGTATAAAAAACATCGTCAGAATAGTCCATCTGCCATCAGTGGATCAACCGTAACATTATGAAGCGGCGAAAATACTTTTTGTACGCGAAGAAAACAAAAATAACGACTTTATTCAACAATTCATCTCCTCTCTCTCTCCGCATCACCGTAGCGCCATTTTGGAGAATAACCACTGAACGCAAGCAGCGTATGCTATTCGGTGTCAGCCGCGCTGCACGGATGCGCTGTTTTTGTTCAAATCAAAACGTAAATACACGTAGAAAACGTATCCTTGTGTCGCGGCTGACACAGAGTAGCATACGCTGCTTACGGTTTTTCTTCAAAATGGCGCTACGGTGATGCGGAGAGACACAGAGGAGACAAATTGTTGAATGAAGTCGTTATTTTTGTTTTCTTCGTGTACAAAAAGTATTCTCATCGTTTCAGAACGTTACGGTTGAACCACTGATGGCAGATGGACTATTCTACCGATGTCTTTCATACTTTTCTGGACCTTGACAGTGTAATTTATTTGACAGTCATCAGACAGTCACAAGCCTCCCAGTTTCATCCAAAATATCTTAAATTGTGTTCCGAAGACGAACGAAGCTTTTAGGGGTTTGGAACGACATGGGGGTAAGTGATTATTGATAAAATTTTCATTTTGGGGTGAAGTATCCCTTTAAGTCAAAACTTCCATATTAGAGCAGAAGGCAAATGGAAAAATACACATTAACAGGGTTTGATACATGTATAAAGCCATGCCTGTTAACTGACAGCACAGAAAATACAGTTACAGAAGTCTGCTTTTGGTTTTAACTGAAGTAAAACATCAAACTAAAAGACTTTATGTGACAAAACAAAGAAAACAACTACATTTACAAATCTTTTCATATATCAACTGTATGTAACTAATTAGAAAGAGGGAATCCAAACTTTGCACAATTCTGTACAAACTGAATTTGATAACTGACAGAGCACTGAGAGGCAAGCCGATTTTATTTTTTTTTACCTTTAATGATTGAAAATGAACAGTACAGAAACAGCAACACATAGCTATATACATTTGATTAGAAACCACGTCTTACCTTGCTGGCCTTTATATGCATTTTGGCTTGGTCAATATCTCCTGCTTGTTTGGCCTTGAGAGCTGCCATCCTGTACTCCTTCTGTCGCTCCAACAGAATGTCTTTAGTGGGCTGTCCGGCTGGTGAGTGTGCTTTAGGAGCAGAGGAAACCACAATGTACCCTTTACAAAAACAGCTCTGTAGAATGTCATACTTCTAGTTAAATTAGCAAGTCAGGAACAACTTAAAGGGAAAAGCCCTCATTTTCAACATAATCAGGCATTGATGATCTATTGAATAAAAATAACAGATTTTGTTTATGTACATTTTGAATTATGACTACTACTATTATGGAAAATGAAAAAAAAA